TTTTTTTTTTTTTTTTTTTTAACCTGACTACTTGCTCACTGGTTCTGTGGCTTTTCTCCTTCTTTCCTGAACACAGCCTTTTCTAGAATCTCCCTACCCTATTGTTCCAGGAAGGGCACCCCCCCTTTTCTACCATGACTGGGGGTATCTTGTATGTGCCCCATACATGGAGTTGTCTTGTGCCAAGAGCCTGACATACTGGGCTGAGAAAGCCCTCTCCCTGGGACTACATGCTGTTAGGCCAGTCCTCCTTTGTGCTATATTAGCCCCTCTTGCCCTTTTGCCAAGAGGGACCGACCGTCCTCTCACAATCCATTTGCCCACAGCTGTTGCCTGGGCTTTCTGCTCATGCTGAGGTTGAGGCCTCGTGGTGGCCAGTGCCATGGATCTGTCTCTCGCCCAGTGGTGTGAGCTGGGCCCTCCCTGGAGAAGAAACCTGGGTTCCCCAAGACATGTGACCAGAGCCGGGGCCCCGCCAGCAGGCGAGGGGATCCCAAGGCGGGTGCTGGGCGTGGAGGCCACGGGGGCATAGGCTACTCAGGAGACAGAACTGAACCTCTTGCGGAGGGTGTGCCCCTTCCTCACTCGCACACCTCACATCACCCTGCTTGGCCCCGGAGGATGGCTGGTTAGCCAGAGACGGGTAAGATTCCTCAGGGAAGGAACAACCTAAGACAGGCACAGTCGCAGAGGGGCCATCAGGAGAGAACTTGGGGGCCAACAGAGGTGGGGCACAGACCCTCACCCCCCCAACTTTGCAGGGGCCTGAACCCTCACCCCTTCAGAGGGAGGTCTCCTGCCCCCATGGCTGCTTTGCTTCCCACGCCCAGCTCAGATCGGGACCCAGGTAGCAGACAGACCTGGCTAACAGCAGCTGCCCTCTTGCTGCAACAAGGATTTGTGTCCCATTTCTACCTTGGACCACAGGGAAAGGGCAGCTGAAGGAAAGGGCTGTGTCAGGGTACCGCCTTCTTCCCTTTGCTCACCCTTTTTTCTGAATGCTTCCTTGCCTTGTAGTCCTTCCGCTTTCTCTTTCCTCCTCCTCTCTACTCCTCTGTCCCCCTTTCCCCTGGCCCTGCTCCATCCTGCCTTTCTCTCTTTCCCTTCTCCTTTTCTTTCCCTCGCTCCTTTCTTGGCCTCCCCTCTTCCTGATTCCCGCCTTGCTCATCTCCCTGCCCCAACATCCTGTGCCATCCCTGTGGTGTGTTCTGGTCTTGGCCACAGCCAGACCTGGCAGAACTGATGGATACCTGTTGAGGCAGCAGAGCCTCTGGGCTCCCACCCCATTCCCTCCTCCCGGGGCTGCACAGGTGAGTAGGTAGAAGGTAAGGGGGGCAGGGAGGGAAAGGAGGGCCTGGGCTTAAAGCCTGGGCTGAGAGTGCTGCTCTGTGGCGCTGGGGGTCAGGCAGAGAAGAGAGTCAGCCTTCAAGGTAGTCATTGCTGGGTGCCCAGGTGAGGTGGGGAGGGGCCATGCTTCTCGGAGCTCAGAGGCTGGGAGGAAGGAGAGAATGACTAAGGTGGGATGGGCTGTCCCTCGGGTGTTGGTGTATTTGCTCCTAGAGCAGTGAGGAGGCACGGTGGCTCTGAAGCATCACTCACTTCTGTCCCGTTCTTGACAGCGCCATTCGTGAACGATTTCCCAAATTATTACGCTTGGTAAGTTCATGACTTTCTTCATGCTCTTCTAACAAGCGTAGCATCTTACCAAGGTTTTGCCTAACATGTGTTTGTGTGACCATTAATTTGGGGACATGGAGCCCCTTGAAAATCCAGCAAAGACTATAATCCTCCTTCCGGGAAAAATGCCTCTTGACAAAGTGGCATCTGTCAGGATCTGTGTCTCTTTCACACTTGACCTCTGTCCCCCTACGCTTAGTTTTTGCATTTTATTACTCATCCAGCCTTTCTCTATTTTACACTATCAACTGTCACTTCCTTTCGGCAGGATGGCCATGAGTTACCCCCACCAATTGCCTTTGATGTTGAAACCCCCACGACGTTACCGCCCTGCAAGGTGAGAAAGGGGGACAGAGTTAGGACTTGTGTTGGGAGGAGAGTCTTGGTCACATGGTCCTAATAGCTGTTTGATGCTAGGGAAGCTACTTTGGAACAGAGACCCTGAAGCACCTGGTCCTGCACTTCTTGCAGCAGTAAGTAGCCAGGGCCCTGAGGCGGGGGAGAGGCAGGCAGCCCCAGCACAGCTCACTCTTGAGAGCTACTGGGTCCCTTTGTGGATCCGGACTGAGGAGCACAGACCTTCCCTTTTGTTTTCCCCACAGGTACTATGCAATTTATGACTCTGGAAACCGGCAGCGGCTCCTGGACGCATACCACGATGGAGCCTGCTGCTCCCTGAGCATCCCTTTCACCCCCCAGAACCCCGCCCGGTGAGCATCACAGCCCAGACCTGCCCACGACCAGGGCTGCTCAGCAGGTACCGGCCGGCACTGCTTAGCGTCCCCGTGGCTCTGACCACCATCTCCTTTCCCTCTTATTCCCCAGAAGCAACTTAGGCGAGTACTTCAAAGACAGCAGGAACGTGAAGAAACTTAAAGACCCCAGTAAGTGTGTGGTAGACCAGAGCAGGATGGGAAGGAGTCGGCCACGAGGCTCGGGAGCGCAGGGCAGCTCCTAACCTTGGCTTCTGCTCCACCCACAGCCCTGCGGTTCCGGCTGCTGAAGCACACACGGCTCAATGTCGTCGCCTTCCTCAATGAGCTGCCCAAGACTCAGCACGACATCAATTCCTTCGTGGTCGACATAAGTGCCCAAACAGTAAGCACTTTTTTCTTCCCTGACAGCCTGGACTTGGGGAAGGGGCAGTTCAGGGCCAGGGGTCTCGGGCTCTGGCTGGGAGCCTGCATGGTCACTGTGCTGCTTCTCTTTCAGAACACATTGCTGTGTTTTTCTGTCAATGGAGTCTTCAAGGAAGGTGAGTGTCTTTGGAGTCCCGTTTGCAGAGCAGTTCTTTCCCCAGCTAGTCTTTCGGAGCTCTCCCAGCTTCCCAGCTACCTCTCTTCCTTTTCCCTGACCTTGTGTTGTGCCCCCAAGCCATCTTCATTTGGCCCATCCTCTCCACCTATCTTTCCTGGCTGGGATATGGGAAAAGCCTGAGGATTAGGACACAGCCTTTGGAGTGAGGCAGGTCTGGGCTTCTATCCCAACCTTGGTCCTCTGTATCTGTGGGCAATTTACATTACTTCTGAGCCTCAGATTCCTTATGTGCAAAAGGGGGTTAGTAACAGCCATCTCCTAGTGGTGCTGTGGAGTGACTTATAGAGTATGAGCGGCTCTCAGGGGTCATCACCATTGTTATCACTGCAGTGGATGGAAAGTCTCGGGATTCTTTGCGAGCCTTCACGCGGACGTTTGTCGCTGTTCCAGCCAGCAATTCAGGGTAAGTGTTTGGTTTGTCACATGGGCTTCTAGTCCGTCCATGGCCAGTGCTGTGGGAATTGGGGAGGGTGGGGGTGGAGTTAGTCCTCAGGGTATTTTCAGAATTTCAGGAAGGTAAGGGGGAATCAAAGGAGGCAGCTCACATAGTGGTGAACAGCTTGGCTCCAGAGTTGGACTGGCTGGGTTTTTCAGTCTAGCTCTACCACTCTGCTAAGGGCCAGTTTCCTCATCTGAACATTGGTGTAACTATTCACTTCCTGAATCGGTTGTGAAGATAAATGGGAGATAAGAACTGTCTGTGGTTCAGGGCAGAAGGTACAATTCTGGTGTGTTTGGTAGACGATTCCATCTGTGGAGTCCATGGGAAAGTCTATGTCAATAAAACGATAAAAGGTAATACCTAAAAAAAAAAAAAGGTAATAACTTAGAGTGGGAGGGGACCTTATAGGTATTGTAGACCCAGAGTGAAGTGTCAATGAGAATAGGAATGATGTTGGGAGGATGAGATTATCTGCGTTTGTTCAACTATCTAAAGTACTTTTTGTCCCCAAGGCTGTGCATTGTAAATGACGAGCTGTTTGTGCGGAATGCCAGCCCTGAGGAGATCCAAAGAGCTTTCGCCATGCCTGCGCCCACACCCTCCTCCAGCCCAGTGCCCACCCTCTCCCCAGAGCAGCAGGAAATGCTGCAGGCATTCTCTACGCAGTCTGGCATGAACCTCGAGTGGTCCCAGAAGTGAGTGCTGGTCATGTGTACCAATGGGGTAAACTGAAGTAGGGCTGGTAGTGAATGAGAGAGCTCCTGAAATTTTAAAACCCGAAGTATTTTTATCGCTTAAAAAAAAGCCCTGGCCAGTGTGGCTCAGTTGGTGAGCATTGTCCCATGCACCAAGAGGTTGCTGGTTTGCCCAGCCAGCGTGGCTTAGCTGTTGAGCATTGACCTATGATCCAGGAGATCCCGGTTCGATTCCCAATCAGGTCACATGCCTGGGTTGCGGCCTTGATCCCCAGTGGGGGCGTGCAGGAGGCAGCTAATTTGTTGATGTTTCTCTCTTATCAATGTTTCTCTCTTCCTCCCTCCCTTCCTCTCTCTAAAAATCAATAAAAAGTCTTTAAATTAGTGTAACAAAATTTAAAGCCAAAATGAAGTTCCTTTATATATACTGTTCTGCAACTTACTTTTTTTACTTACCCCATGAACATCTTCCCCTATAAGTCACCTTAGTCATCTTTTTTTAATTGATTTCAGAGAGACAAACATCGATGTGAGAGAGAGATATGGATCAGTTGCCTCCTGTACGTGCCCCAATGGGGGATCGAGCCCAAATCCCGGGTATGTGCCCTGACTGGGAATTGAACTTGCCATCCTTCGGTGTACAGGATGATGCTCCAACCAGCCGAGCCACACCAGCCAGGGTGTAGTCTTCTTGATAGCTATTTAATACGTATTCCTTTGTGTTCGATAGACCGACAGTAAATGTGGATTTTTACTAATTTTTCATTTGTATTAATTGTGCAAAAATGTATATAATTGTTGGGGACTTGGGCAAGTGTGTGTATAGAATGGGTTTTGAAGTGGTATTTAGTGATCAGTGTGACTGGTTCTAATGGAGGTGCCTGTTCTTCCCCACTCCAGGTGCCTTCAGGACAACAACTGGGACTACACCAGATCTGCCCAGGCCTTTACTCATCTGAAGGTAAAGTTTGAGAACACAATGGCAAAAAGACATATCTTTGGGCCTTCAAGAGGGTTGAGTAATGGGTAGGGGGAACCTGGCTCTAATGACCTTTCATTTTTCTCTCAGGCCAAGGGTGAAATCCCAGAGGTGGCGTTCATGAAGTGATCCCTAGTCAGTCCCAGAAGCAGCCCCCTGTAAATAGCCCCCGGATATTGATGTCTTGCCATGGTAGCCGTCTCTTCCTCTCCGGCCTGGCCTGAGGCCACCCTGTGACTGTGACGGAGGAGGGAGGCTGCTGGATCCCTCTCCTCACCTGCCTTCTGGAAGACTTTTCAGAAGATTGAGCCTCACTGGTGCCAGGAAGCCAAAGGTTCCTCTGTAGAACTGACACTAAACTACTCGAAGGACTGAGGTGCTTTGTGTACTTACCCCCAGGATCCCCGGTCCCCCTACTTTTTAAGATAAAGAGTGATACTGTATTTTGTGTCCTGTGTGCTGCATTGTTTGGCCCGGTCTCCACAGTTAGGTTAGATTGGTTAGGTTAGGTTAGACTGGTTAGGTTAGGTTCGGTTGGTTACGTTAGGTTAGACTGGTTAGGTTAGGTTCGGTTGGTTAGGTTAGGTGAGGCGGGAAAGCGGCGTGGGACAGGCTGCGGTCTCTTGACACCCATTGGAGAGACTGGAGGCCGCCCGCCGACAGGAAGTCCCGCCCCGGAAGTGACGCTGCGCTTTCTGCTTCCATGGCGGCACCCAGGCGACTGTGGCTGGCGCGGCTGCTGGTGGCCCTGCGGGACCTTCCGGTGCGCCGAGCCCTGCACCAGGTGACCCCGCCGCGGGACGTGCTGCTCTTCGAGCACGAGCGGGGCCGCTTTTTCACAGTTCTTGGGCTGTTCTGCGCTGGCCAGGGCGTCTTCTGGGCCTCCCTGGCCGTGGCAGCCTTGGCCCCACCCCCGGTCCCCGTGCAGCCTACGGATGCAGAGGTCCCTGACCGCCGCCGCTTGGACGTGCGCGCTGCGCTCTGGCGCTACGGCCTGGCGGTCGGCTGCGGCGCCATCGGTAAGGCGTGGGCTGTCTTCCCACCAAGGGGATTTGTGGTGGCTGGGCGCGACCCCCCCTGCTTAGGCCAAGAGAGTGACGGGCCCCTGCCAG